GCTGCCCCTGGGACCACCTCCCTCACGGTGCGGTGCTGCCCCTGGGATCAACACAGACTGTATGCTCAAATGCCTGAAGGCTGATTCAAACCTTGACCTGCTGATTTTGGGCTGAGTCTGCTACCCATGGCTGGCATCTGACTGACTTTATCTCATACTCACTGAGGAATAAACTCAGAGCAGCTTCACAAAGACTGCATGGCCTGAGAAACAACGAGCCACTGGGTTTACATCCTCACGTTTGCTTTTTCTGCTACTTTTCATCTGTCTACGGACTGGAGAGTGATCAAGAAATGAATGTTCTTTTCCATTCTCTCACGACCCAGGAGCAGTATCACCAAATACCATCAGTTACTTCCTTAGCAGATACTGACTTACTGGCATGTACATCCAGCACACTATTGAATATCACTGGGCCGTGTGGCGTGACCAGAACTGACAGGAGCACTTATCACATGATCCAATGGGGGTTGAAAATATTCAGTTATGCAAATTTATCTGCAAAATAAATTGTGAGTTATGGATGCTTCTTGTATTTGTTTCAAGAACTGCGTGTACTATGCAACTGAGTCAGTTTGATCTACATAGCCTGGTATGAAAATCAAAAAAAAAATTCAAAGAGCCAAAGAAGGATTCTAATGCAGTCTAACAGTTAACGTGGGGAGATGATGGCCTAGAAGTTTTATCGCTGGACTGCTAATCCAGGGACAGAGGTAATGACCAGGGTTCGAATCTCATATGGCAAATGGTAGCATTTTAACTCAATAAAAATCTGGAATTAAGATTCTAATGATGATCATGAATCAATTGTTGGGAAAAACCCATCTGGTTCACTAATGTCCTTTAGGGAAGCAAACTGCCATCCTTACCTGGTCTGGCCTACACGTGACTCCAGACCCACAGCAATGTGGCTGACTCATAACTTCCCTCTGGGAATAAACGCTGGCCTAACCATCAATGAATAAATTTAAAAAAAACTATAAACCTGCAAGCAAATAGTATTTTTTATAGGATTGACAAATGTGGCAAAAATGTTTTAAACATACACAAAGCACATTCTGTTTACAACTGTATGTTACTAAGACAGAACCAGGTCATCAAACCATCGCAACAAACAACTGCACCTCCCAGTCGCGAACCATTTCAACTCCCCCTCCCATTCCTCAGACGACATGTCCATCCTGGGCCTCCTGCAGTGCCACAACGATGCCACCCGAAGGTTGCAGGAACAGCAACTCATTCATCTTGGGAACCCTGCAGCCCAATGGTATCAATGTGGATTTCACAAGTTTCAAAATCTCCCCTCCCCCCACCGCATCCCAAAACCAGTCCAGCTCGTCCCTGCCTCCCTAACCTGTTCTTCCTCCCACCTATCCCCTCCTCCCACCTCAAGCCGCACCTCCATCTCCTACCGACCAACCTCATCCCACCCCCTTGACCTGTCCGTCCTCCCTGGACTGACCTATCCCCTTCCTAACTCCCTACCTACACTCACCTTTCCTGGCCCCATCCCCGCCTCTTCGACCTGTTTGTTTCCTCTCCACCTATCCTCTCCTCTATCCCTCTTCTATCCGCCTCCCACTCTCTCCCTATTTATTTCAAAACCCCCTTCCCCTCCCCCTTTTCTGATGAAGGGTCTAGGCCCGAAACGTCAGCCTCTCTGCTCCTATGATGCTGCTTGGCCTGCTGTGTTCATCCAGCCCTGCACCTTGTTGTCTCGGATTCTCCAGCGTCTGCAGTTCCTACTATCTCTGCATCAAACCATCCAGCCCAATTTACCGTTTTATTAGATCACAGCTGATGTATAATTCAGTTCCCTTTGTTCCACCCTTTGTTCCTGATCCCCCAAACCCAAAAAATCTACTAAAATATGTCAGGAAGTTTCAAAGGCTCCTGAGCATCCACAGCATTTCGCAGGAAGAGAGCTCCAGATTGTCTCTGCCCTTTCCTGGGAGAAGAGAGTGCTTTCTGATATCATGGTTTCTTTAGAGGAATTAATCCACAGATTATGAGGTTTTGTGCCTGAACAACAGTCACTTCCCCAGACCAGGGATGCACTCCCTTGAGGCACAGGAAGTATTTAATTGGGCAGGGAGGGTGTCACATGAAGACTTTCCACCTCTGCTCTGATTAAAGTTGGGGTGGCACGGCTCATGGACAGTCATTTGCAGCCCCTGTGTTTTAATGATTTCAACTGAGGACAATTGATGGCAACTAAAGGGCTTCATGACACCGCCACTGGCACTCAACCAGTAGAAGGATGGGCAGTCATCATGTGGACAGTCCAAAAAAAAACAAACCTCGTCACGTTTCCTTGTGAATCTCCAGAGGTACACAGCGGTCCTCGATCCTGGGAATGTGTGACACTGGCCAATTGCATAGCAGACTGACATTTAACATGGTGGGCCTCAGCTCTGCAGGGGGTGGGCAAGAGCCCCCAGTGCTTCAATTACGTCCCAGAGATATTGGCGCATGGATGTCCACTCACAAGTTGTTCTCGTTGTACATGATATACATTATACGGTTTGTAGCTCTAAAAAGGACAACCACATCATGTTTTAAATTACCGTTGTTAGCCAATGGCCAGCAACCATGCCTTAGCACCAAAATATACCTTGTTCTCTCCTAGCACAGGAAGTCGAGTTTGGAGCGCGTTGATAGCTTTATTACAGTCCAACATCCCAGGCTTTCTTCCTGAGACAGGCAGAGAAATTGCCAGCAGCAGCCCAGAACTGGGATGGTAAAATCATCCAATCTGTCTGGAATTGGGGAAGATTAGGATGAAACAGCCTCCCAGCTTTGGCCCTCTCCATGGGCAGAAGGTGATGGAAGTTACAATGTGGGCAGAGAGCTGTGAACGAGTGCAAGTTCAAGGAAGGTGGGAGGCCAGCCAGAAGAGAACTGCAACTCACGTCTAGATATACACAAGGTTTGGATAGGGTTTCAGCAGGCATTGAGCTGAGGCAAGCGACAGAGATGAACGGAGGCAGAATGAACTTGGAATCTCATAACAGAGTCAAGCTGCGTGTGGACAGTCTGACTCAACATTTAGACAATGGCCAGAGAGCAGACTATGACTAAAGAATGGAGTTCGTGGTGTGGATTAAACATAATGGCTTCAGGTTTTACCCCTGCATTTATGTAGGGGAAGTCTCTGCTCACCTAGTAGCGGATGCCATACAAGCAGTGTAGCAAATCAGACTCTGATCTAAAGTCGGTCATATTTTATAATGCACCAGTGATAACACTCAAGTCCTGTTTTCTTAGCTGGTACTGAGTTAGGAATCAGAATGAGCGTTACCAAGAAGGAGGTAGGGTGCAGCCACTAAAAATGGCCCCCATGATCCATCTGCAAGTAATGGAATAGGAAAAGTGTCTTATAAAACTGTAGTGATCTCAGACGATCACTGAAAGTGGGACTGGTCTCGTTGGAGAGCAGGCTGATCGGAGATTCAATAGAGTTTTTTGAAAATCATGAGGAGTGGGCTGGATTGAAGAAATAGGAAGCTGTTCACACTCAAAGAATCAAGAACAAGAAGTCTTAGACTTAAAATGACA